TTATAAATTCAAATATAAGCACTAAAAAGTGATTACAAAACAATTCCGATTTCTAAAGTTAGAAATCAATATAAGTATTTTTAAAAACATTTTTTTTTAGCTTCAACATTTTTTTTACTTTAGCCGTTGATATTTCATCCCCTACCGTAATTCCATATTAATGGGACGTGCGAAAAGGGCATTATGTCGACAAATCCCCTGAGTGGTGAAAACCCAAAGGGAAGTAGGGAATTAATCTGCAAGAGCTCGCATTTTGAGTAATATTAGCTAGGATCAGGTGTCTTCGGTTTCCTTGACCCCGAACCCCCCAAAAATATTTCTCAAATCCTAATTTTTTTTAAACCCCGATTCTAATCAACTTCGTGTTTGCTCACGTTCGTTCGTTTCGACGATTTTTTCATCCCCTTTCGATCTTTTAAGGTCTTATAAGCTAATTTAGTGATGGTGCGTGCTTCGATGGATTCAGAAATCGTTTTTCGAGTGGGAAAAATAAAACGAAAATATCGTTCGGAAACACGATGTATCCTAGTTGGAAAAGCACCGACAAATGTTGGTGTTCGCACCGACTTTGTTTTTTTTATACCCATTCGTGACTGGAACTCATTAAGCGGTCTCTTTCCGAATCGATTACCCCCCCTGATGAAAATCGCTCCAACTTCAAACATTAAGAAGTAGAAACTACTTAGTGGTTATCGCATTTTTATCGTTATTTTATAGCTAGGTTAACGATCTTTTTACTTAACCGTTAAATAATCGAAAAATAGGAAAAAATTAAATTGAAATGTTAGATTTGTTTATTATGCCTACCATTTTATCATAAATTTTATCATCCTTATGCAAACTAAAGAGTGTTAAAGAAAGATTAGAGACAAGGTTTGAAACGGAACGTGACGTTTATCTCCAATTTGTCAACAATTATATGCAAGGAAATTGAGTGGCATATTCAAATTGTGAGTCACACGGTTGATAAGCTGTTAAACAAAGCGGATTCCGTATCGCTTCGAGCGGTTCAAATCTTTTGTTCCATATGTTTATCAAACCGTAACGGGTCCAAACGAAGACTGGAAGCCTGGAAACGGTTTAAAATATCACATTGCTTTTTAAGGCTATTTCGTAAATCTTTTGACGAAGAAAATTTGCATTACCAACAGCAGGAACCCCTCTAAATATAATCAATTTACCTTTCCCCTTGTCCAGAATTCATTAATAGGATTAATCCCCGTAAATGCGAGTAGAAATTCGGGTGAAAAATGGTAATGGTAGAGCAGGATGTTGCCGCGTAATGTATACCGCGTTTTGCATATTTCTCCCGGCACCACTTAGATTATTTGAGGTGGTGTAAAAGAAAAATATCCCAATTTTACGTCCTCTCTTTATTCTCTAACGCCCACTTTGCATGCTACCATCATCATGCGCTGCAGATGTAACAGCAGGATTCGTTGCAACCGCCCGAAGGGTAAGTTAAAGACATCGTTTGTCTACGGAGCGTCACCTCGTCGTACGACAAATATCGCATACTAACTAAGCGTCAGAAGGTCCGAAGTAGGAAACAATTACCTAGACACGTCATTTTATTGTCGTATAAAATGTGATTTTGTACTTTGCCTTGCGAATTTAGTTAAAAACTCTATTAAAACTTGAGAGGTGATTGTCTCTGCTTGAAAAGAAAAGTTTTTGGTAGCGAAAAAGTTAAAAAAGGTCTCATTAATTCAAGTTAAACCTACCGAGAATGGAGTAGTAATTGAATTATGGAAAGATGATGGTCTGCGCGCGACGTAGAATAATGCCTGTTTTTCTCGTCTCTTGGGACTCGATTTTTCTCGACCGGTTTAATAGCGTCTGCACTATTTTTACCAGTATTTTTTTCCATAATTCTTTAATAATTTAATTTTCTTTTCTTATTCGTACTTTAACGAATGAGCCAATTCCTATTAAAGTGAATATTGACAGCAGTTTTTGAGGTTATGTCATTTTAATCAAATTATATCCAAAATTTTGATTCACACTAAAACATTATAGTTTAAAACTGCTCGAGCGATCATAACATATGTTTCATAGTGTTCAACTTACCTTAAAATGTTGAAAAGGGAATAAAAAAACGTTTAAGCATCTCAAATCAAATTCCGCCAGCATTTTCATTTTATCGCACTAAAATAGTTTTTGAATTCGAAACATTAATTTTTTAATAAGTTTGTGTAATGAAGAACAGGTCTGATAACCGCACAATTTATTTGAACACGAAAATATATTCGACATTCGTTGACATTACAAAAATTGCATTTTGGATATATGTCAAAAAATAATACGTGTTTGTGATACTAGATGGCAGTGTGTAATGAACGAATTTTTTCCGTATAAATTGATATTAATTGATTTATTAATGAAATAGTGTTAAATCAATTATAAATAGATATTTAAGTTATAAAAATTAAATAATTTTATATTCGTTAATAATTAAAAAAAAAAATCGGTTAAACAACAAAGTATGCATTTGTAATAATAGATGGCAGTAAGAACGATTATTTTTCTTCATATAAAGTTTCTTAATACATTTATTTATAAAATGGCACTAAATGAATTAAGAATATAATTTAAATCAAATAAAATAAGTATTTGATTTTAAGTTAAATCAAATATTATTAAAACGAGTCAAAAATAAATTAAAAAAAATTATTTAGGTTGGTATTATTTATAATTGACAGTGACAGCCACAACAAATAAAGTTCGAAATTACTAAAAGAATAATATTTAACGTTAAATCATTATTTTAGCATCACCCTATCATTAAATAATAATCTTATATGTAAGTATTTATTAGTAACGTTGGTTGATTGTGTATTTTAGATATAATTTCACATAAATAATCGGCTACTCCTGATGAGATAAAGCCGATTATTGTTTACTCTCGTGTTTGAATTTCGAGGAATAAACCTAATTTATACTTCAATTCACATGATTCATTGTTATTATCACCTTCACAATATTATATTTCGAAAAAATATATTTTAATGTTTACATTTTCGTTTAGGTAATGGTAAAAAGATATTTAACCTACGTGGTCGACATGTTAAGCCGATCTGCAGGTGTTCGAGTTCCTATTAAATTCCTGCGGGAACTCTCGCAAAGGTAAGCGCGGTATGAAATATGCAAAACTAAACACGACGCAGCAACCCTCGGGGTGCGGTACTTCTGGGGGTGGCGCAAGGAAAGACGAACGTCGGTGGTTGCCCCCCCGTCGGGCTCTTAAATCCTTAAATGTTCCGTGAAAATTTAAAACGTACCGCTCCAACCCTAAATCCCCACCAACGCCATTGTGTTGCCATTCGTGAGTCTCCGAGAGAAGAGACTTTATGAAATATCGCGGCTCGGCATAAATTACGCCGTCTCTTAAGAGAAGACCACCGAAGGAATAAGAAGAAGCCGCGAATTGAATAGGTACGGTGCTTTTGAGCACTGAATCTTTTGAGTAAGAAGTTTTAGAAGAAGGAGGGGACCTTTGTATTATTTTAAACAGGTTTTCCGAATTAGTTTCTCTTTTACGTAATTTTTCAATGGTCTACTTGTTCCACAATCGAGAGGACGTTGTGTAACTCTAATTGCGCGGAAATTACGGTCCACAGCCAATTAACTTCCCTAATTCAACTAAATTAATGTTTAGTAAATATTTTGTAAGAGTTGTTTTGTTGTCTATTTATGAAGTGGGTAATAGTTTTAAAAATGAAACATCTCGGTAGTAAAAATTTACGTTCAAGCATCAGCTGGAGCACTTTACTAGATTCCAGACTCATCCATACCTGATATTTTATCAAGAAACTGTTTTAGTTTTACTAGAACTAACACTATACCTAGAACTAGAATCATTTGGGTTTAGCCGCACGTCTCTAAAGACGGCTAAACCCGAATGATTCTAGTTCTAGGTATAGTGTTAGTTCTAGTTTTACAGTTACACTGCTACTAGTTCTAGGTATAGTGTTAGTTCTAGTTTTAGTCAATAAAAATATGCAACATAGCGATATTTTATGCTAACTAGTGCTACCTCCCAGCCGCCTTACTAGAGGTACGGCTAAACGGAATATTTCTAGCTGTAGGTCTAGTATTAGTCTAGTTTTATTTGTTATTCAGCGCTAGATTGTTGTATATTTTTATTGAGCTATAACAGACATTTCGTTTCTCGTATTAATCCGTTATACCGAGGTTTTACTGTAATGTCAAATTATATTGAGATGTTGCATTTTACATGGAACGCAGTAAATAGGTTTCTTATTTAATAGAAACGCCCTGGTTTGTATGGAAATATCCAATTAACTTCTCTAATTCAACTAAATTAATGTTTACTAAATATTTTGTAAGAGGTACCTATTTATGAAGTGGGGGAGTAGTTTTAAAAATGAAACATCTCGGTAGTAAATCCTAGGGACATGAAAATTTACGTTCAAGCATCAGCTGGTGAACTAAACTAGGGACTCCTCGCCCAGTTTAAAATATTCAAGGAGCACTTTACCAGATCCCAGACTCATCCCTACCTGATATTTTATCAAGAAACCCAGTCTTTCCTGATGGTGACGTATAGTCTCATTCCACATAGTGCCCGGCGGTTTCACGATTTCCCCATCTCGTTTAATGGACCGATCGCCTTATGGGGGGAGATTCCCAAATATTCTCTTTAATACCAAATCTTTAATACCGACTCAGAATTTAGATTTTTATTTGAGAAAGATAAGTATTTAAACTTCCATTTATTACATGGCCTATTTAGCGACGATTTAATACTAACGGTTTAACTCGGTACCATAAAAGAGTTAATGTCATTTTATATTGCGAACGTGTTTAAGTTGAAATGAGTTATTCTTAGATAAGGTTAATCTTTGTTTATTGACGAAATAAACTTCTAATGAAAGACAGTTTTGGTTTAATGTTGGGTTGGTCGGTTGTAAAAGTTTATTGAAGGATTTTTTGTAAAAAGTTAAAAATGAATTTGAGATAACTAAAATCATAATTACCTTGTTTTTTGGTCCATATTAACTTGGATTTTTTTATAAATCCCTTTTTTTCTTAACGACGCTTTCTTCTCCACCCTTTTCCCTTCATCCCCACTAACATTAACATTATTAAAATCGACGCCATCCTTAAAATGATGACATTTTATCACATAAGTATCATACGGTTGCACTTCACCACCGCAAGCGGTATTTTTAGCACTTTGATTTTTATTGATTTTTTTTAAAACTGTGAGAGGTTTTCGCGTTTTACGTAGGACTTTATTGCTACTTTTAAAATCGGTTTTCTTATTATCGTTATTATCATTACCTTCATTATCTTTATTAGATTTTTTAAACGCTTCAACGAATTGTTCTCTTTCTTTTGCAGAATCTGGTTTATCATCGAAGTCTAATAGACTTTGGAAACTTTGTTGGATTCGAAATTCGGTGTATTTAATGGTATCTTCAAGGTTTCTTTTAAAAATAATATCATCGACGCTTTTTGAGATTTTTAAATGTTCTTGAGGTTTATTGAGGAAAGTTGGTTTTGTTGGTGGTTTTGGTTTTGATTCGGTTACAATTAAGTTTTCTTTGCTAGATGATATGTTCGAAAAGCTAGTTAAAGTCTGTTTTTTTGATTCGATTTTAATTTTGTGTTCCACGTTCGTTTTAAACGATTTAATGCTCTCCGTTGCTTGTTGTAAATTTCTAATCGCTTCATCAAGATTTTTATTATTATTCTCGAGAATTTGTGAATCATCTTGTTGCGGTTTACCCGATTTTATTAATTTCGGTTTCGGATTAGGTTGCGGTTTATTAATCTTATTAACGTTACTCACTTCAATGATTAAATCCGGTTTATTCTCGATAAGTAACTCACTACTACCACCTTTATATTTTTGTTTAAACTTAACATCATCGAATTTCATGTTTTCGGTTTTTTGTCGCGACGATTTATTTAAACTGTTAAAGAAATTAACGGCGGATTTGACCGCCGGAGTTAAAGGTTCCTCGTCATCCATGTTACTCGTCGGCGGTCGAATGTATGACTAGTCTCTAAACACTTCATAATAACTGAGTTAAGCTTATCGCAAAACGATAAAAATTTTTCTTATCCATTAAAATCCGAGAAATAGAGTTTTGTTGTTAGCGCACATTCACTTTCACCGGTTAACTCTTTGTTCAAGACTAAGAATGAAGAGGCAGTTGACCACAGCAACTGGTTGGTCTATAGATAAACCAGCTCCAAGGTCACGAAGACCGATCAGGATTCTGCCCCTCGGCCTCTGCACGATGTCTTCTCAAGGAATGCCACGTTCATCCGGTAGATGTTATTCCACTTGAAATCATCCAAGCGACAACACTTTTCGTACTGTTTGAGATCCCTTTACTTTTTCCCGTCAATGGGGCGACGAAGAAGGTTTTTATTTTTAGAGTGGAGTAGGTCCTAAACCCTCTTTACTCAAGAGCAACTCTTTATTTATCTTGTAAAAGGGACGCAACAAAATCAACTGCAAAAAAAAGGGATTCGAAACGATCAAGAAAAGAACCGATTGTTAATGTTTTTCTCTATTGAAGGCTTTCTTAACGTTTAAACTACGCTTTCTCTTTGACATTTTATACAACTTTATCGATTTATATCTAAAAACCTTGTAAATAAGGAAATTCTTTTTTTTACTTACAATTAGTAAAAAAAATAAATTAATTAAATTCAAAACGATTAGAGTAAGTAATTAATGTTAGTTCTCAACTAATATCATAGTTCTAGACCTATAACTATAGATAGACCTAGAACTAGAAACATTTGGGTTTAGCCGTACGTCTCTTAAGACGACTAAACCCAAATGATTTTAGTTCTAGGTCTAGTGTTAGCTCTAGTTTTAGTCAATAAAAATATGCAACACAGCGATATTTTATGCTAACTAGTGTTACCTCCCAGCCGTCTTAATAGAGGTACGGCTAAACGGAATATTTCTAGCTGTAGGTCTAGTGTTAGTTCTAGATTTGCACTGTCACTGGAACTAACATTAGACCTAGAACTAGAATCATTTGGGTTTAGCCGCACGTCTCTTAAGACGGCTAAACCCAAATGATTCTAGTTCTAGGTCTATTGTTAGTTCTAGTTTTGCACTAGCACTGTTACTATGAAGAATTAACACTATACCTAGAACTAGAATCATTTGGGTTTAGCCGCACGTCTCTAAAGACGGCTAAACCCTAATGATTCTAGTTCTAGGTATAGTGTTAATTCTAGTCTAGTATTGTTACTATGTAGAACTAACACTATACCTAAAACTAGAATCATTTGAGTTTAGCCGCACGTCTGTAAAGACGGCTCAACTCGAATGATTCTAGTTCTAGGTATAGTGTTAGTTCTAGATTTACACTTGCACTGTCACTGGAACTAACATTAGACCTAGAACTAGAATCATTTGGGTTAAACAATATCCCTAGAACACTATACCTAATACACTATACCTAAGTAACACTATACCTAGAACTAGAATCATTTGGGTTTAGCAGCACGTCTCTTAAGACGGCTAAACCCAAATGATTCTAGTTCTACGTCTATTGTTAGTTTTAGTTTTGTACTAGCGCTGTTACTATGAAGAACTAACATTAGATCTAGAACTAGAATCATTTGGGTTTAGCCGTCTTTAGAGACGTGCGGCTAAACCCGAATGATTCTAGTTCTAGGTCTAATGTTAGTTCCAGTGACAGTGCAAGTATAGTGCAGGTATAGCAGGTGTAGTGTTAGTTCTAGATTTACACTTGCACTGTCACTGGAACTAACATTAGACCTAGAACTAGAATCATTTGGGTTTAGCCGCAAGTCTCTAAAGACGGCTAAACCTGAATGATTCTAGTTCTAGGTATAGTGTTAGTTCTAGTCTAGCATTGTTACTATGTAGAACTAACACTATACTAGTGTTTAGTATTAGTTCTCGTTTTAGTTCAAAAAAAATATGTAACATAGTGATATTTTATGCTAACTACGGCTACCTACGCCCTGGTTTCCATGGAAATATATTATTGTATATTGCATTTTAAGTGAAATTCACTGTATATGTTTGAGGTGTTATGAAAAACGTCAATAATCATATCGAAGTGCTTTCAAGAATATTTAAAGATGACAGATTAAGCACTATTGCATATTAAGCATATTGGAAGAAGATGATAACACATACACATCTAATACATTGTTTAACTACAAAACTCATACTCAAATAAACCTATCTTGTCACATTTGACTACAACATACCAAAAGTTTATGGATTCATAGGATGAGATAATAATGAGCTGTCCAAAAAACTTGAAAAACTTGTATTTGACATTAAAACTTGTACACATACACATCTAATACATTGTTTAACTACAAAACTCATACTCAAATAAACCTATCTTGTCACATTTGACTACAACATACCAAAAGTTTATGGATTCATAGGATGAGATAATAATCAGCTGTCCAAAAAACTTGAAAAACTTGTATTTGACATTAAAACTTGTTGGCAGCATGAGCTATTACATCTTAAAGCTTCTATTCTCTATTGCAAAACTGCCAACTTGTTAGCAGCACGAATTATTGTATCTCAAAACTTTTATTTGACATTAACAGTCTGCCAACTTGTTGGCTGCATGAGTTATTGCATCTGGAAGCATTTATTTAACAATAAAAGTCTGCCAACTTGTTAGCAGCATGAATTATTGCATCTCAAAGGTTTTATTTAACATTAAGAGTCTGCCAATTTGTTGGCAGCATGAGCTATTATATCTTGAAGATAATCTCCTAACCGACACTATGAGATAAACAAGCATCTATCTTGGATGATGAGATTGTTATCAAAGTCACCTCTTCCTTTATGGTTAATTTTCTATGTCTAATTGGTCTGAAAAGTACATTCGAAATCAGATGTGGTAATTAAAATTGTCTGTTGAACACTTTATTAAATAATTAAACTAATTTAACGATGAAGCAAATTTATTTGTTTTTCAGTGCTACATATGTTTCGGAATTTCTTTCCTTCTTCAGGCATAACTGAAAATACCGTGACATTATCAAATTGAGTTAACAAATTAAGTAAAGATTAAAACAATTAAGGAGCAAAACTTACATATAAGAAAATTGAAGGATTAAAAGAAAATTAAAAGAAACAGTTCACCGTCAGATCTTATTGTCAGAAGAACTCCTTTTTATAATTAAAATTCAAAAATTAAATCTAAATGTTGAACTAGAGTAGATAAAATATTAGGGACACCAAAACTCAAGTGCTTAAGACCTGCATCCTACATGACATAACTAAATAAACCGATGGTATTTCAAAGCATGTCGGAAGTTAGTCAGAACACCAACATCGACTTTTTCGTTTAATATATCATTACGATTAAGAGTTAAGTGGTTTTGTTAATCAATAAAATTCAGTCGTGCTCTAGTTGCGATTTGCGATAACGAAGCGATATATAACAAACATATTTACAATGGCTAACAGAAAAAATGCAGTATCAATTTTCATCAATGAATTAGAATTTCATTAATCATTGTGCTCATTTCTACTATAATTTGGATTAATTGGATTAAAACACACCAATTGAATCGGCACGAAACGATACCCAACAATCATTAAAAAACACGCGATAGTAAATACATCACATCACGCAAATAACAGGGAGATGCTCAAGGGCGAGCGGTTTAAATTGTCCTTAAGAATGATTTAGATAGAATTAAGTCCAATCAAAATGCCTACACGACTTGTTGCAGCGAATTGAGGGCTTAGAGGTCGCCACTCTATTATAAAAAGAATCTTCCTTTTACAAAAAAAAAAATTCTTGTATTATCGACCAATGGAGCGTGAAACTCAAAACATATGTCTTTGACATCTTTCGTATTCTTGTTACAACAATAAAGTGACACCGTTATACTTAAATAACAATGAGGGTAAGTAGAATGATATTACTGTTATTTAAAATAGATCGTGATTAAAAAAAGCGATTTTGAGGTAATTATAGAAAGTAATTTTAGAAGTAATAATAAAAATATAATCAGGAAGTAATCAACGATTTATTACTAAATTTTACTTTCACTTTCATTTGAACGCAAACTTAAGAAAGCCTCCAAAATATTTTATAACTTATAAACGATATAAAACAAAAACGAACCTTGTACAACAAAAAAAAAACAAACAAAAACAAAATTGTCGAACCAAGACACGTACACATACACACAGTGTTGTATTTTAAAGTAGGACACGACGAACGCACGGAACCAACTGAGTTGAGTGTTAGGACCATACTGAACCACACTGAGCCATGGCAAATGCACACACCACAATATAATTGTGACCGTTCGTCCAGCACCAGCAGCCTTTCGGAAAAGAGACTTCCTACAGCGGCCGGGATGGGATGCACTAAGATCGTTTAAAGCAGCAGGTAGTCGACGATTTATAAAAGTACCACTTTCCGGGGACCAATCTGTTCAAGTTGAAACTTGTACGATCTGGGTCAAATTGGCTGTATCTCTAACGGTTTGAAATGCTGGAGATGGAGAATTCAAGATAAAAAAGACTAAAATGACACTATAAACGCGGGTTATGAGTAATATATAGAATTAAAGTTTGTGGTTCTCTTGGAGTATTATGTTCTCCTGATACTCTGTTCTTTCAATCGGCGATGTTTCTGAATTCCGCTTGGTGAAATTATAATAATTCTCGATGCATGGTTGGGTTTTATACAGCAGTCATGGCCGAGCGGTTAAGGCGTCTGACTAGAAATCAGATTCCCTCTGGGAGCGTAGGTTCGAATCCTACTGACTGCGAAACAATTCCTTTTTTTATATACTTTAAATTAAATTATTTGTAAAGTTAATACAAAAAAGATATTCAATATACAATGGTTTACGTTTTAAAATGATTTAATTCATAAACTGATTTAATTCATAAAATTGAATTTTGTTGCAAATTTATAAATATTATTAATAGTGAGTCTGAAGAAATTGTTAGAAAATTAGTGAGAAGATTAAATTTCAAGTTGTTTTAGTGGAAGAGATTCGTATCTTGGAGCTTTCACCTCGCATTAGAAATCTACCAATTTGTTGGCAGCATGAGTGAGTTATTGCAGCTGGAAGCTTTTATTTAACAGTAAGAGTCTACCAATTTGTTGGCAGCATGAGCTGTTGCATCTCAAAGTTATTATTTGACATTAAGTGTTTGCCAACTTGCTGGCACCATGAGCTGTTGCATCTCAAAGCTTAATTTTACATTAAAAGTCTGCCAACTTATTGGCAGCATAAGCTATTATATATTGCATCTTTTATTCTTTATTGCAAATCTGCCAACTTGGTGGCAGCATCAGCTATTACATCTTAAAGCTTTTATTTGACAATAAAAGTCTGCCAACTTGTTGGTAGTATGTGCTATTGCATCTGGAAGCTTTTATTTGACATGTTTTCATTAATCGTAGCTGTTTATGGAAACAAATTATAAGTAAAGACAGTTAGAAAAACATTTCTAAATAT